GCATTGCGAGATGCCCGTACTTGCAGAAAGATTCGTGCCAATGCAATCGTGGCGGAGCTGGTAGTGCCACCCGCACCTGGAACTGTTCCTGATCATAAATGTTGACGATTTCAAACTGGCAGGACCAGCCGACATTATGCAGGAAGGTTGGACCCTCATGTTTAGCCCATGCGAGTCAGCGCCGAATGGAATCGAGATGAGTCCTCCGACGGAAAGGAAGATCTCTGGGAAGTGAGCAGCGCGCTTCCGATCGATGGATTGACCGGCAAGGAGAAGATCCGACTGCGCTGGGACCTTTGCCCCCCGAAGTAAGGAAAGGAAAGGAAAGGAAAGGGCGCGGTCGCGGCTGGGCATGGTTTCGCAAACCCAAGAGTCGTGATGCAGGGAGAACAACTCCCGAGACATGCCGATCATTCTTATCCTGTGCCAGCTGGCCAGCAGGCGCGGACCAGGTATGATCCAGGCACTCGGCGTTGCATGGCGCAGTTACCTTCGGGGCCTGATTGGAGAGTGGCAACTGGGAGGGTCGCTCTAGACTACGGCACCCTGGAGGAACTGGGGGGCCTCAGGGACGCGCAGAACGTTAACCGGGATCGCTTGCACGCGCTGGTCTCGGACGGCCCAGGCGGCATCAGGAACGCCGTCACGATGGTGAGCGTTTATCTTTCATTGTTTTGCCGATCGGCGCGGGCCCTCGCGCCCCCCCCCCCCCTGGAGTGCATCTTGGTCGTTTTTTGTCGCTTGTTTTGAGTGGGCGGGGTCTCCCCCGTAGACAGTCGCACCGAGCAGATGTCCAGAGCCAGACCCCCCACCCGTCCGCCCAGCGTCGAAACGCCGAATAAGGAAACGCTGACATGCTGTCCCATCGGACAGACGTGGCCAACTCGGGGGAAACGGCGAGACGATGCCACGCGCTACCCTATGCCGCCCTGGCACAGAGAGCAGCCCTGATTTCAACTTCGCCCCAGCGAGCCCCTGCAAGAGGTCGCTGACTGCGTCGGTGTGTCGGGGGCCACAGTGCCGCCGGGGCCCTTCGCGCTGTGCCCGACGCTGGAAGTGCGAGTCATGGAATATACGATTGGGAGATTTCTTTATGTCTTGCGCTACTCTATGCAGAAATGGCGGGCACTGACCCGATCGCTGATCCTTCGGCTGGAGCGCCATGCGGCCCTGCGTTGAGTAGTCTCGAAGACGGACAGGGCGGACCCTGATGAGAGGGCGCGTCCCCAGCTGAAGAAGCGATCGCAGCATGCCTGAACGTCAAGGCCTCAGCGGGCCCGGCGGACATCGCTCGTGAAATCAGCGTGCCTGACATGGAAGATGACGACTCGGTGAGTCCTAAAGTCGCCGGCCCCGTCAGGCGTCTTACAGCCCATCGCTGCTAATGGCTTGGTGAATATATTACATGGCGACAGGATGGCAAGGCGCGACTTGCTGAGGGCCATTTTTTACCCTTGAGTCTTGCGTGACAAAGTGGATGGAACAACAGGACATTGAACTCTTCCAGCTAATGCGCTACATGAGGTCGACGGCGCACTTTAGGGCGGCGTCCTGGGTCTGATCCCCTCGCGGACGCATGGTTGAAGCAGTGCGATGATGCCGATCTGACGAGCGACATCGGGGCCCATCGCGGCGCCAGCGTTAACGCCCAAAAGCTGCGTGGACCGGACACTCGAGCGCCACTGAGTTGTAACTCCCGAAGACAGACGGCGACGCCACATAGGGCGCTAGAGGTGGAAATCGTCTCGGCTGACGAAGCCATTCGGAGAGGACTACTTCCAGCCCTGCCGTTGTGGGAAGCACTGCTCAGACGACCCCCGAGCCGAATTTCTGGTGGATAATCAAGCAGTTGCGAAGGTCAGCAAGGCCGGTGGATCCTTGAAACTAATGCACTTACCGAGGACCAATCGGATTGCTGCGATGGACGTGGCGGAACAGTTCGCGCGAGGCATCGTGGATTTGTCCGATTGTCCCATTCAAGGCCAAGTCGCGGACGTTGGGGCGAAGAGGTTTGGGCGACCTCCGTCATGGGCCAGAGTCATCCCATTGGTTCAAGCAGTGACTCCCGGCGTCTGGGACTCGCCCAGACATGGGGAACGCATGGGCCCCCTAGTCGCGGGCGACAAGGCTTGCCCTTGAAGTCAAGGGGCATTTTGCAGCCCAAATTGGGCGCGCGATCGGCGATCGCGTTAGGTTCAAGAACAGCAAGGGAAAATGGCCGCGAAGAAAACCGAATCGAAAGAACAGAGGGGGGCCGCCCGCTGCTGCCTCGCCACGCACGCGTAGCAGGGCGGCAAAGGCGAAGTCTGAGGCGCCTGCCGCGCACCCGCGCGGTAATGTCACGCGGCGAACGTTTGGCAGCCAGAAGAACGATGCCGCTGGAGCGGTTGCTGACCGCGGCACGTCGGGTGTCGCGCGAGGGCCCACTCGACCCAAAGCGACTGATGTTGAAGTTCTGTTGTGGAGCTGACAGCAGATTAGGGAAAACAAGAAAGCATCAACGATGCAAAGTGCGAAGGGGTCAGATTAATGGAGCTACAACGCATGACCATTACTACCAGGATAGAGTACGCAATGCAGAAACCCAAAGTTTCAGGGGCAACTGCGTTGTCCTGTGTTGCTCAATGCCCCGTGCGGGTGGCCCCCCGTGACACTGCGTTAACGAAGTCATGTATCGCCGGGGCGGTGACGTCAAGGTTCTGACGAGACTGCGCGGTCACAGATCGATTTCTTTACTTGCTGAAGAGTTCCAGTGGCGCAGTTCGCATACGTCTCCCTCACGCAGTATAGCGCTTCGTGGCCCCATAGAGAGCTCCACCGAAGGCCCCAGTGGCGGCGTTCGCATGGCGGCCCCGCTCCTTTTCGCCACACCCCTCACTCGTTCCGTGGCCCCATATGGGGCGCCACCGAAGGTCCTAGTGGTTGCGCCCGTATGCGTCCCCGCCAAATTTCGGCACACCCTTTACGCGCTTCGTGGCCCCATAAGAGTTTCGACTCGATTTCGAGCTTGAGGCAAGCTACAGCGGGTTCATGTGCAGCAATAGCTGCAGTATCATCAGAAGCATCAGCCCAGAGGGTCCTGAAGTCTGAGATCGGTCTGCTACTCGAGGCATGGCCGAATCATTTGGGCGCACGTCCGGTTGTTCGATTAGATCGCGGGATTCAGAGCAACTACAGAGCTTTGAGTCACTGATGTTGATTAATTCGCATACCTCTAGAGCTTCGAGAGCACCGAGCTCGGTGGCCTATCTGATACTTGCGACTAGAAGGTTCACGCGAGATTTGAGCAGCTCATCGGCCAAAATTGGGACCGAACTTCCCTGCATTCGATTGTGCGATCATTTGTAAAGGCGCTTCTGTCCGGACAGAAGCTCTACGATATCCCCGGCGTTACAGGTCGCATCTGAGGTGATAGGCACGTGAGTCGACAGACGATGAGTAAATGCATATACCTGAAGGCAACACCGAGCAACATTCAGACCAACTCTCGATTGACTTCCACAGCGTCTCGCGACAATAACATGTTGTAGATACCCACAACGGCGATACCCACAATGGCGGTACTTGCACCTGCATATGGTTGGGCTCTTCGCCAGGATACTTGTTCATGGTGTTCGTGGGTTGCCGCTCTGTTTGCCGAATTTCGTTAAGCCTCCATACGACGATTCTTTATGTGGCGGTCCTACTCACGGGTAAAAGGATTTTATCTGTGGCGGCTTTACACAACGACTCTCTTTTTTTGTGGCGGCCGAACAAAAAAACTGATTTTTCTGTGGCGGGGCTTGCAGGGCGCTGCCGCCTGCGCGGCGCTTCATCGCGCGAAGTGCAGGGTCTCCCGTGCGCCGCAGTCACGGGCACGCGGCGGGGATTCACCCTACATTGGCATGATCAACGTTGAAGCGGGCGGAACCCTGTTTTCGCTTTCGCGCGTCTCCATGGGAGCAGGCTGGAGATAGCGCCGCTCGCCGCACTGCCTCCCCGGGCTCCCGCATATGCAATCAGTTCCCCCTTTCCTGCCCTCCTTCATTTCGAGGGCGCCAGGGCGGTCCAACGCGGACCCCCAGATGTGCTCCCGAGGGGTTCGAGATTGCTGGCAGGAGAGCACTGTTGCTGTCAAGTTGGTTTTGGCCCCCGCATGGCGACGGCAGCATCGACGACGCGCGTGCTGTACGGGGCAGATCTCGATGGAATCCCTGAGTGATTCCGTAAACGTATGCAGAGAAGAAAACCACCACCCGTCATCGTAATCATTTCCAATGTCGTCACCGTCATCGACATGCTCATTTAGACTCTAAATGAGCATTGGGTCTAGCACGGCCCGAGAGCACCGAAGATGTTTTCCGAACGGCCTCCGAAGGCTTCAGGCTGCGCCAGGACGGCCCTGTGCAAGCTTCAGTGGGCGCTCCAGGCCCCAGCCGAGTGCCCTGAGAAGCAAAAATCATTGTATTCGCTAGGGTTTTACAATGTTTGCGGTGCCATCTCTTTGTCGACATTCTCACTCTGCGACGGCCCACGAGGCCTCCGACCCCGCCTCAGGACAGGCCCAACGGCCCCCAGGAAGGCTCTGGGACGGCCTAGCAGGGCTCCATGACGCCCCCCAAGGTCGCCAAAGAGGGCCCACGAGGCTCTCAAGACGGCCACAAGATGGCTTTCAGAAGGAGGGTCATGAAGCAAAATTTCAAATTTTTCGCCTCCCGGCTCCAGATGGCGCCCGAGGCCCCAGACCAGCGCCCCGAGAAGCAAAAAACAATGATGTCGCTAGGGTTTTACAATGTTTTCGGTGTCCTCTGTTTCTCGACATCCTGACACTCCACGATGGCCCACAAGGCCTCCGACACCGCCTCAGGACGGACCCAGCGGCCCCCCAGAAGGCCCCAAGACGGGCTTAGGACGCTGTGGCCCAAGACAGGTTTTGCGGTGCTCAGACGTCCACGCCCAGCGCTGGAATCGTAATCTCGCAACTGCATCTTTTCCCACTGCCGGCGCCGGCGCGAATAGCTATGGGCGCCTGGAAAAGCCGGGGCCTGCGCTACTCCGAGGAGGCTGGCCACGGGGTCACGCGCGAGGTGCGTGTGGCCGGAGCCGGCCTTGAGGACGTGAACGGTGTCTACACGCTGGCCAGGGAGTTCGCGGGCGCAGAGATGTTCGAGAAGGATGGCGGGGGGTCCCCCTTGGGCAAGGTATACATCCGCCGCCAGGCGGAGGGCATGCCTGGCGATTGGGTCATCACGCTGTCCGCTGACGCGGACAGCGTGAGAAGTGAGCACCTGTACAGGCGGACCGAAGTGAGAAAGGAGCAGGTCTTCCCGCCGCTCCTCGGCTGGAAGCCGTGCACGGCAGCCGATGGCGTGCTCGAGCGCCACGTGGATCAGCTCTCCAAAGGCCTGCCGAAGCTCGAGTATCACAACGTCATGGCGGAGAGGGGGCGTGGATTGATGTCTCCGCTGGAGGAGTGGGACCAGCAAGACACCAGCTCGAGCCTCGAGGTGTGCGTCGTCGGCGCGAGCAACATTCCCGATTCCTACGCGTCCAAGCTCCACTGCACCTTCCAGGTGCCCGGTAAGGACGAGATCATGGAGTCTGGCGCCGTCGCCAATTCTACAGACCCAGTGTGGAGGTTCAAGGCTCCCCTGAAGAGCTGGAGGCATCCGGATCCTTTGAAGTTCACAGTGTTCGCGAACAGTAATATCAAGATTGGGGAAACCACGCTGGACTACACCGCATTCCGCGAGACAGGCTTTGTTGGAAAGCTTCCTTTGTCGTTGTTTGGATCTGACGACCCAAACGCGACGGTGAATGTCTGCGTCACCAGGCCAGGGCAGCTTATACCGGGCGTCGATGTCGTGCTCAAGAAAGAGTTGGACGCGAAGATCGGCATCGAGGTTGCCATCGAGTCGAAGACATCCCTGTCCATAGTCAAGATCGCGGAAGGAGGGCTCATTGACAGATGGAATGGTGACCACCCTGAGCAGCGCATCCATCTACGCGACATCATCACCGAGATCGACGGGACGCGAGGGACGTGCTACGACCTGCTGTCGAGGCTAGCAGTCCAGGATGAGCCGAGGACCATCCAGATAAAGGTTTAGCGTGCCAGCAGGGTTGAAGCATAGGTATATCTACTGAGCCACAAGTGTTCATCGAGGTCTGCCTCGTTTTTACAATCTATGGGTGTAAACGTAGATTCAGAGCCGCGGAAGGCATGGCGGTCCAGACTTTGTTTACAGTACGTACTACTGGTCTGCAGTTCTGTTTGCGACGTCCTCGTGGCATGTGCGGCGTGCAAGCTTGATATGCAATATTTTGTTCTCACACACGTACAGACATACATCTATAATTACAGCAGAGCGATAAGGAAAAGGAGGAGGGGGAGACTGCCTGGTCTGGAACTGGTGTTTCAAGCTGTGGGCCGCCGCATAATTAGGTCTTTGGTTGACCCTTTCAGGCGTCCGCGCCACCTCTTTACCGCCCCCATGTCCTCCACCCTCAAGGACTTTGCAGCCGTGGCCTTCAGATCAGGTAGGATCCCCTGCCGCGAAGAGTCACGCGGAAGAGTGGGCGGCACGCCAGTCGTGCGCAGGGACCCTTGCCGCGGAGAGTCACGCTACAGTGCGGGCGTCGCGCCAGTCGTGCGCGTTCATCCCGTGCATGTCATCTCCATGCGGGCTCTGCGAGCTCGCGCGGTTGGGAAAACGGCTCGTCGTCCTTCATTTCCGTTTCCGTCACCTCCTCCTGTCTTTCCTCATCGCCCCATTTTTGTCAGGTTGCCGAGGCGCTGCGGGCTTTCCGCAGAGTGCAGTACATATTAGCATGGTTACGATGCGAAAGGTTCGGGTGCAGACGTCTTGCGAGATCCAGCGGATTAAGGCCCAGCGGGAATTGCAGCCATCCCATTCGAAGGTGCACAGCCGAAGGCTCATCTTCGGCATCAAGTAGTCTCGTCCCATATGCTGGGGCAGCCCAGGTGAGAGAGAGAGAGAGAGAGAGAGACCGCGGAAAGGGATTCGCGCGGGACAGACAAACAGCAATACTAGGTGAGTCAGGGCGAGAGGGAGATTCATGATTCCACTGTCCTCGCGAGCATCGGCCAGGCTGGCATGAGAGGAACACGATACCGCAGTCTTGGCTAGAGGCCACCCGGTAGTTACACTAGGAGGCAGGACCTGGTGGCAGAGTTGGTGGTGGCGGAGTGGGGAGGTGCGAGATACGAGACTATTGTTTCCAGCCTTTTAATTCCCAACCATCCTGTGGTGTTGGGTCCTCGTTTTGAAGAGACGGTGCCCCGCGTCTCCTTCCTCCTCTCCTCCTCCGCCTCCTCTCCCCTCCTATCATCCGCATCGTCATCATCATCATCATCATCATCATCGTCATCATCACCATCATTATCATCATCATTATCATCATCATCATCGTCATCAGCATTAACATCATGGCCGCCATCATGACCATCATCGTCATCATCACCATCATCGTCGTCATCACCATCATCGTTGTTCTCGTCGCCATCATCGCACGTTTCGTGGCCCCATACGGAGCTCCACCGAAGGTCCCAGTGGGTGTGCCCGCATGCGTCCCGCACGCCAATTTTGGCACACCCCTCACACGTTTCGTGGCCCCATAGGGAGCTCCATTTACGGTCCAAGTGGCGCAGCTCGCATGGCGCCACCGCCCCACTTTGGCACACCCCTCACACGTTTCGTGGCCCCTCAGGGAGCTCCACCTGAGGTCCAAGTGGCGCAGCTCGCATGGCGCCACCGCCCCATTTTGGCACACCCCTCACAGATTTCGTGGCCCCTCAGGGAGCTCCTTTTGGCACACCCCTCACACGTTTCGTGGCCCCATAGGGAGCTCCACCTAAGGTCCACGTGGCGCAGCTCGCATGGCGCCACCGTCCCTTTTTGGCACACCCCTCACACGTTTCGTGGCCCCATAGGGAGCTCCATTTACGGTCCAAGTGGCGCAGCTCGCATGGCGCCACCGCCCCATTTTGGCACACCCCTCACACGTTTCGTGGCCCCTCAGGGAGCTCCACCTAGGTCCAAGTGGCGCAGCTCGCATGGCGCCACCGCCCCATTTTGGCACACCCCTCACACGTTTCGTGGCCCCTCAGGGAGCTCCACCTGAGGTCCAAGTGGCGCAGCTCGCATGGCGCCACCGCCCCATTTTGGCACACCCCTCACAGATTTCGTGGCCCCTCAGGGAGCTCCTTTTGGCACACCCCTCACACGTTTCGTGGCCCCATAGGGAGCTCCACCTAAGGTCCACGTGGCGCAGCTCGCATGGCGCCACCGTCCCTTTTTGGCACACCCCTCACACGTTTCGTGGCCCCATAGGGAGCTCCATTTACAGTCCAAGTGGCGCAGCTCGCATGGCGCCACCGCCCCATTTTGGCACACCCCTCACAGTTTCGTGGCCCCTCAGGGAGCTCCACCTGAGGTCCAAGTGGCGCAGCTCGCATGGCGCCACCGCCTCTTTTTGGCACACCCCTCACACGTTTCGTGGCCCCTCAGGGAGCTGCACCTAAGGTCCCAGTGGTGCAGTTCGCATGGCACCCCTTCACACGTTTCGTGGCCCCACAGGGAGCTCCATCTCAGGTCCAAGTGGCGCACCCCACATGGCGCCGCAGACCCACTTTGGCACACCCCTCACACGTTTCGTGGTCCCATAGGGAGGGAGGAGGAGGAGGTGGAGGAGGAGGAGAAGGAGGAGGAGGAGGAGGGCGAGGAGGAGGACGAGGAGGAGGAAGAGGAGGAGGGAGGAGGAGGAGGAGGAGGAGGGAGGAGGAGGACGAGGAGGAGGAAGAGGAGGAGGAGGAGGAGGAGCAGGAGGAGGAGGAAGAAGGACCGCCCTGGCCGCTGTCGCCGCCGCCGATGCCGCCGTCGCCGCCGTCGGCGCCGCCGTCGGCGTCATGCTCGCGGCCCCACAGGCGAACGGGAGAGAGGGTCCCCTCCCCCTCCTCCTCCTTTCCCTTCTCCTCGCTTCCTTCTCTTTGTTGCCCGCGCGCATCATCATTGTCCATGCTTGTTGAGTCCACTTAGCTGTGAAGCCATTCATTGCAAAGAATCCGAACCATCGCGGCGTGTGGCCTGGCCCCGACCGGTGTCTAGGATTCTTCAGCGACGGGTGTCTCATGGCCTCTCCAACCGTACGAACGGATTCATAACGCCATGGACATAGATGTTCGTCGTCGTCGTCGTCGTGGTCGTCGTCGTCGGTGTCGTCGTAGTCGTCGTCGTCGTCGTCGTTGTCGCCGTCGTCGCCGCCGTTGTCGTCGTCGTCGTCGCCGTCGACGTCGTCGTCGTGCTGCGTCGTCGTCGACGTCGTCGTCGTGCCGCTGTCGACGCCGACGCCGCCGCCGCCGTCGTCGTTCATACGAGCGCGTTTTGATGGGTTGCGTTTCACGTAGTGCGCTTGCTTTCATGGGCGCCACCAACGCCGATTTTTCAATTTCGCGTCCTGCCAGGTAGATGGGTTTCGCCGTGCGCGCGTGGGGAGTTTTCGAATGCGTAGAAGGACAAGACCATCGTGATGTTTTCGAAATTACCTAACAGCGAAGACTGATAGGTTTCTAGCGGTCTCAAAAGAGCTCACAGATCACTCCACAGGGGGGTCCGGGCAGGTGTTGGGGAGTTGCCGGGCGGCAAGGTGCCGGGCTCGTTTTTCACCAACAGTCACACACTTCGTGCTCTTCGCCTTCCCAGAACTCCATTCCCAGGCCACATTCTGAATACCCGGATGCAACAGTCACACACTTCGTGCTCTTCGAGATCCCAGAACGCCATTCCCGGGCCACCTTTAGAATAACCGGATGCAACAGTCACACACTTCGTGCTCTTCGAGTTCCCAGAACGCCATTCCCGGGCCAACATTCTGGAGGGCCGGATGCAACAGTCACACACTTCGTGCTCTTCGAGTTCCCAGAATTCCATTCCCGGGCCACATTTTGATGCCCGGAGCCAACTGTAGGCCACTTCGTGCTCTTCGAGTTCCCAGAACTCCATTCCCGGGCCACATTTTGAATGCCCGGAGCCAACTGTAGGCCACTTCGTGCTCTTCGAGTTCCCAGAACTCCATTCCCGGGCCACATTTTGAATGCCCGTAGCCAACTGTAGGCAACTTCGTGCTCTTCGACTTCCCAGAACTCCCATTCCTGGGCCACATTTTCAGCAGGGGCAAGAGCACGACGAGGAGGAGGACGAGCAAGACCAGGAGGACGAGGACGAGCAGGAGCAGGACGAGGAGCAGGAGGAGCAGGAGAAGAAGGACGAGCAGGAGGAGGAGGAGGACGAGCAGGAGGAGGAGGACGACCAGGAGGAGGAGGACGACCAGGAAGAGGAGGAGGAGGAGGAGGAGGGGTGGGGGAGGAGTACCAGGAGGAGGAGGAGGAGGAGGAGGAGGAGGATGAGGAGGAGGAGGAGGAGGATGAGGAGGAGAGGAAAGAGGTAGGAGGAGGAGGAGGAGGACGAGGACGAGGAGGGAGGAGGAGGCGGAGGGGGGGGGGAGTACCAGGAGGGAGGAGAACGGGACACCAGGGGAGGAGGAGGAGGAGGAGGAGGAGGGAGGAGGAGGAGGAGGGAAGGAGAGAGGAGGAGAAAACACCAGGAGGAGGAGGACGAGCAAGACGAGGAGGACGAGAACGAGGACGACCAGGAAGAGGAGGAGGAGGAGGAGGAGGAGGAGGAGGAGGAGGAGGAGGAGGGGAGGGGGAGGACTACCAGGAGGAGGAGGAGGAGGAGGAGGAGGAGGAAGAAGAGGAGGAGGAGGACGAGGAGGAGGAGGAGGAGGACGAGGAGGAGGAGGGGGGGGTGAGAGCACCAGGAGGAGGAGAACGAGGACCACCAGGAGGAGGAGGAGGAGGAGGAGGAGGAGAGAGCACCAGGAGGAGGAGGACGAGCAAGACGAGGAGGACGAGAACGAGGACGAGCAGGAGGAAGAGGAGGAGGAGGAGGAGGAGGAGGAGGAGGAGGAGGAGGAGCAGCAGGAGAGAGAAGAGGAGGAGGAGGAGGCAGGCTGAGGCTGAGGCTGTGACTGCGACTGCCGTTGCCGCTGCGACTGTCATCGCGAATGCGACTACGACTGCGAGAACAGCAGAATTCGACAACTGGATTTTCATCTGAATCTTAAGGGGAATGCTTTCAGATATGCTTATACACATCGCTGTTAGGTTGCTTTGCCGGGATAATGAATTGCTTCGCTCATTCAGCGGCCCATGTAGGTAGCGTCGCTGGGCACTTGATTGCCGTGCTCGGGGGGGCATTGGGTGGATCTCATGGGGGCCGCTTGGGGCCTTCGTGGGGGCTCCCTGAGGGCCTGTTGGAGGCCTCTTGGGGCCTCTTAGGGGCCTCTTGGGGCCTCCTGGGACTTCTGAGGGCCGAGGGCTCGAAATATTGTTTCGTGTTCCCCCCCTGGGGTCCCTCTTGGGGCGTTCTTGGGGCCCTCTTGGGCCGTCTTGGAGGCCTCTTGGGCCGTCTTGGAGCCCTCTTGGGCCGTCTTGGGGCCCTCTTGGGGGCCTCTTGGGCCCTCTTGGGGCGGTCTTGGGGGCCTCTTGGGCCGTCTTGGGGTGTCGTGAAGCCGAAAAGGTGGAAACGCCAAAATCTTTCCAAAACCTAAGGAAAAGCAGTGAATTTTGCCTCTTGGGGCCCTCTCGGGAGTGCTCTTGGAGGCCTCTTGGGGCGTCTGGGGGCCATCGTGGGCGTCTTGGAGCGATCTTGTGGCATCTTGGACCCCTCATGTAGCATCTTGGGGGCCTCTTGGAAGCCTCTTGGCCCTTCTTGGGGCTCTCGGGGACGTCTCGGAGCCGCGTTGGTGCGCTGCTGGAGCGCCCTGGTGACTCCTCCTGGGACTCTCTCGGGACCTTGCCGGGGTACTTTCCGCCCGGGGGCCCCCAGGGGCCGCCCCGCGCGCGCGAAGTAGAAAGATTGTAAAGCAGTCACCGGAGATCTTAGCACGCCTCTGGCCCGTTGGGCCGGCGAATTCGTTCGGGGAGGGGGAGAGGGAGGGGGATGGGGAGGTGGAGGGGCAGTATGAGGAGAATGATGAGGATCGCACAGGTCTACGAGCGGGCAAACCACAATCAGACAGGCCTGCGGGGTTGAAGGATCCGTCAATTCGAAAAACTTTGTGCTTGGAAAGGCCCGTAACCCGTAGCCTGGCCATGGGGGATGTTAGAAGATGGAGGAGGAAAGGACGGAGGAGGAAAAGGAAGAGGAGAAGGCGGGGGGGCCGAGTTGCCAGGAGGGGGGCAACAGCTGGGGTGGAGCTGGCGGGCGTGGCGGGATTGTAGGGAAAGCTGCCGCCCTGCTAACCAACACCCGACCTTCTGGGCCAGCCACCTTGCCACTCCCCAGCCTGGAACATATCCCTATCCCTATGATTGGCATCGCCTCATCTCGATGCCGATCTTAGGGATTCCCTCCGTTTCTGAGGGCGCATTTCTAAGATTGTCGTCGACTTTGGGCTTGTTAATTTTAGGGATAGGGATACGTTCGAGGCTGGTTAGTGCCACGGGCACCTGAACTGTCGTTTTACCCCTCTCCCCCTTCTCCCCATCCTTCTTCCGGAAAAGAGGGAAGGAGCAGACGGGAGTCCGAGCGTGGGGGGGCGTTGCCCTTCTCCCAGGACTGGTCGAAGTCCTCGTCGACGGCACCATCCTCCCGGGAGTGGTCCAAGCCCTCGTCGACGCAGCTGCTCGGAGATTTTGGGGAGCAGGCGTTGCTTGGATCGGGGAAACGTAAGACTTGAGTAAGCCGGAACTCGGGTTCGCCGACGTTTTTTTACGAGCACATCCTGGATTCTGACGGTCCAGTTTTCATGGCATGTTTGCAGCGGGAGCTCGCGTCAAATGTTCGATTGGGTCTCGTGATTTTTATGATGGCCCCGTCGGACCAACCCGCGTCCCTCGTACATGAGTCCTACGTCTCCCCGATTGGATCATTCACAAAACCATGCGCGGTTGTCGGCCACCAAATTCTGAACATGTCCTCCTTCCAGCCCACGCGCGAACGTGCTTAAGGCGGGGTTTCCTGAAGCCAAGCCACATCGTCTGTTGAATCATGCCCGCATGCTTTACCAAATCAATGGAGATGAAGCAGGCCACGTATTTTTGAAGCGTGTTCTCTTGATGCCTGCCTTTTTCGAGGTGCGTCTTTGAGGCACGGAAGCTTGGTATCCATGGCCCAGTGGGTCACCATGATAATAATTGCAGGAGGAGGGGAAATGACGAGGGATGAATGAGGTCAGGGACAGGGGGCGATGGAGGAGGAAGGGGAGCAGAAGGAGGTTTGATCCTAGCGCTTCCCAGACTCACGCAGCACTTCTGAACACCAGTTCGTGAAGCCTAGCTCCCCTCTTTGTCGGGAGGTTCGGCCTTTACACCGCCCCGCTCTCAAGCACCCTGCGCGCCAGGTTAACCTCGACACCTCGACGGACGCGTCTCCACGCAGGCATGGCCAGTGCGCCGCAAGTGATGGCCCAGAAACATGGCCTCCCGTTGCACGCCCTCAGCTCGGTGTGGCGGTGGTGCGCCACGCCGAGAGGGCCGACGAAGCGTGGGACTCCCGCTGGCTGCATACCGAGGACCCATGCCGCCAAAGCGGGGGCCTCATTATCACAGGAGGAAGCGATACCACTACCCGAGACATGCCCTAGACCCTAGAAATGCTCGCGCCGTAAACAAAAAATGGCCGAAGGTTTTTGGCCGTTTTCGGCCTCCGGGGGCTCTCGCCAGGCCCCGGGACCGTCAAACAAGTGCTGTTTGGGATGAAAAACCGGCCTTGTGGAAAGGGTCGGGCTTTCCAGGGACCCCGCATCTGGAAAGAAGACAAGCATGGGATTTGCGGGGCCGCTGCTCGTCCTGCAGAGAGCCCGCGCTGCCACGGTCGGATTCTCTTCGAATTTCTGATGGGAGCGCACCCCGGGAGAGTTCCAGGAGTTGCGTTAGCGGTACTTTTTCGCCCCCAGAGCAGACGGGGTCGGAGGGTCGCGGCCCGCCTCGACAGCTGCATCTTGCTGCGCGTCGCGATGTGTGGCGCCATTCACAGGTCCGACCTAGCACCGCTGACGCATCGGCGGTGCGGCGCGATCCTCTGACCCCATCTGTCCCGAGCTGTTCCATATGCGGGGGGTGGATCGCGTGGGGGGGGGTCAGCGGGCTGTCATTCGGGGGCGTGGGGGTGGTGGATCGTGCTTCGGGGTGCTCGGCGCGCGCGGCGGGACCAGCGGGGGTTGTCGTGCGGGTGGCATGGGGGGGCGCGTATTGAGCTACTCGGAGCACGATGGGCCCTGTTCTGGGAGAACGCGCGGAAGTAAAACTCGTCTGGGGCCCAGGGCTTCTGGGCTTCTAGGGCCCACCGCATGTCCCCTTGTGGCCACCATCGCCACTAGGTTATTTTACTATTCCTCTACGGCCGCTCGTTTTATTAGCTTCTCGAACGGGTGAGTTTTGCTTTGTAAGTGTGCTTAGGGCTTTGCAGCTCTGGAAGCATGGGGCGGACTGGAAGTCCGAATCTCGCGGCTGTGGAGTCGGTCATAGGGCAGCCCAGCGTGTTTACGAAGTGGCATGTACATATATATATATATATATATATATATATATATATGTGTGTGTGTGTCCGTAGCCATTTTGGCTCTAGGCCAAATGGCGTTTTCCCCAGATCTGCATTCGCGGGGTAGGCTCCCACCCAGTGTCCCAGCTGCTTCCAAGTCCAGGTCCGCCCCTGGCACCAGCCCCAAGTCCAGGCTCGTTCCTGGCATCCATATCAAGAAGTCCAGGGCCTCCCCTGGCATTCATATCCCAAGTCCTGGTACGCCCCAGGCATCGAGTGCTCGCGAATGGCGTCTCATAGTGGAGCTGCTGTTGCTGGTCGCCCTTCTCCTCATCTCCAACCCGCTGGTGCTGGAGCGAGTAGTGCTGGCGAACGACAACCTGATGCAGTCCACCAGCACGACCACTGGAGAGAGTCGGCCGCGTTATCCCGTGCTGCCGCTGAAGGAGCCAAGAGGCCTCGTGCAGATGCCTCCCACGCCTCGGTTTCCAATGCTTCAACCTCCTCAGAGCTCGTGGACCCCATGGACGCCGTCAACGCCGCCATCGCTGCCTCGCAGGACTTCCTCACAGCCCAGCTCGATTCCAAGCTGGCCACGATCAAAGCAGTGATCGTCGGCGAGTTCGCTACCCAGCTCAAGGGTCCCCTCGGTGCGGTGGTTGGACAGCAGCAACAACAGAACGCGCAGTTCACGGGCCAGATCCAGTCACTTCAAGCCACGTCATCGAAGCTCGAGGCAGAGCAAGCAGAGATGCGTACCCAAATTTCTGAAATGCGACAGCGGCTATACATGCAGGAGGCACATATCCCCATCAAAGACTACGAGAACCTCATCGAATGGGACCGGCCAGCAGACACGAGCATAATTGTGGGCACGGCTGCGGAGAACTTCACGCTCGACGATTTCAAGGCCAGCATCCAGCCCATCATCGACAGGTGTGAGTTCGGCGCTGACGAATGGGAGGCGGTGGGCAAGAGTCCAGCGCGACGATTCATCATTCAGTTCAGTGGCGACGCGAATGCCTCTGCCCGACGTGTCCGCTCTGTCTACGGCAAGCTCAAGGGCGCTGGCGGCGAATGGCTCAACACGGTGGTCAACAGTGTACATGGTCAGCGCACACGTCTCTTCTTCGGCCTTGACCGCAGCGGCAAGACAGCGAGGCGAGAGTTCCAGACCAAGAAGCTCACCCAGTTCTGCAAGACCCAGCACGACACGAAGCGCTGGCGGGGCGACCGCCAACAAGGGATCATATTTTGCAACAACCTGCCCATCCTCTTCATATCCGTGGGCGCCACAAAGGATGAACCAACCAAATTGCTCTTCAACTACCAGGGTTGCCTCACGCATGGCATCAACAGGGAGGACGTCCGCGCGAAGTTCGAGCAGTTCTTCCAAACATCCTTGGACGCGCAGAACGCACAGTGGCAGATTTAACAAGGCGCTGGCCCCCTGGCGCAGGGCACAGTCTGTTGGCGCCATCACTTTCAGGACGTGGAACGCACGAGCGCTCCTCTGCCAGGACCCGCTCAAGCGCAAGAAGAAGGTCAACCACATGCTGCAGGTACTCAACTCTACGTCGCTGCTGGCCCTGCAGGAGGTGCACGGCTCCGGGTCGGAGCTCGCCCATGCCCTGCGCCTAGGCCACAAGACTGCGGCCATCTTCACCTCCATACTTGTGCGCGGCACGGGAGGCGTGGCGATCGTGCTCCCTGGTCTCTCGCAAGATGAGGCGGCTGACTCTGACCGCTTCCGCCACGCGACACCCGTACCTGGCCGCGTGCAACGTCTCCAGATCAAGTCGGATCTCACTGGTGCACCCGAGGGCGCTCTGCCGTCCATGGTGGTGATCTACAACGTCCACAACTTCCAGCTCGCGCAGGATCAGGTCCAGCGCACGGTGGGCTCAATCAGGGCGGAGCTCAGCATCGCAGAGCAGCAGCCCGAGCGCATCGCAGTCATGGTCATGGGCGACTTCAACTTCATGGACGAGGCCCCACTGGAGATGAAGGCCCCGCTCGTCAACAAGGGGCTACCCAGGCTTCGCAACGTCCATCCTGAACATCAGCTTCTATGGGAGCAGGCACTCGGAGACTTGGTCGAAGTGGACCCTGAGCTCCCCGCGCTTTACACTGGGCACCCCCAGCAGTGCACGCACATTGATAAGATCTATGCCAGCTCGCCGCCGTGGCTCTTGACACAATGGTGCGCGGAAGTGACGTCCCCATGGCACCTGACATGCTATATGACAAGGGCATTTCGGATCATGCCCCAGTGCACCTGCGTCTCTCAGCCCGCGCTCGCGAAGATCGCGAGTCGCAGCCGATCCCGCAGTGTATCTTCGAGCGCCCTCTCTTCGCCAAGTACCTCGACCTGCTGGTCAGCCACGCTGACCTGGACAGCTACACGCCCTTTGTGCGCCTCCAGGAGGTCAAGCGCCTGATCCGCGAGGCGGCGCGTCCCTCTCGCAACGACCTGACAGACATGCACGCACCGTGCTCGGCGGCAGCCCTCACCACTTGCAGGGCGATATCGAGGGCGGTATGGCGAAATGACTGGCAGAGCGCACGCACGCTTAAGGCGCGCACTGAGCTCGGTGACCAGTTCTTGGACATCTCCGACCCGAGCAACATCACGCTGATCGAGCCTGGCACGTTTCGTCGCGTCTTCGAGCAGCGCCAGAAGTCGCACCAGGACCAGCGTACTGAGGCCCTGCTGCAGGAGGAGACTGCCGCTGGCACGCCTTTCAGCAGCGGCAGCGGCTCCGCAATATGAGGAAGGCGATCCAGAGGCGTGGCAAGCTCTGGGCCCCAACGGGCAAGACCCTCAAGCTCAAGGCTACCGAGGTGATGCACGACCACAGCTCGACGGAGTCGCCTGCGGCCATGATCGAGGAGCTCCGTCGACAATGGCCCCCAGTCTTCCAGGCGAAGCCGAGCCACCTCAGACACGTAAAAAGCTACCTAGAGAAGCACATCGTCCCGTATGACTGCACGGACATGGACATCCCCACTTTGGGTAAGATGAAGCGTTTGATCAGCAGGCTCAACAACCCAGCGCCTGGACCTGACGGGATCCCCTACATGGCCTGGAAGCGGACCCCCTTGTCGGCACAGCTCATGCTCGACGTCACCGTCGAGATCATGCAGGGTTACCCTGCCCCACTCACCCTCAATGACTCGCTGATGACCTTCACCCCTAAGGGGTCGGAGCCCGCTGACGAGCTCGGGGCGACGAGGATGGCAAAGGCAACTCGTCCCCTCTCCTTGCAGAACACGGACTGCAAAATCGTCGCGGCCATGGGGAACGAGCTGAGGAAGCCGATCGTGGCCAAGGGAGCACACAAGGCCCAGAAGGGCTTCTTACCGCAGAGGCGCTTCATAGAGCACGTGGTGGCGATGGACGCTCAGGCCCGCATAGTGGCCACGCAGTCGGACCCCGTGGAGAAGGACCCACTCTTGGTGCTGTACGACTTCGGCGACGCGTTCCCCTCCATGTGCAGGGTCTGGCTGAACAACGCGCTGGAGTTCGCAGGTTTCCCACTGGGCATCCGCAACATGGTCGATGCGATTTACCTCCTGCCCGCTGCCTTCACCAACCTCGGCGGGGCGCTAGAGGTGTTCTGCGCCCTGGCCTCGGGCATCCTCCAGGGGTGTCCGTGGTCGGGCACTCTTTGGGCCGTCGGCATGGATCCGCTGATCAGGGACATGCATTCCCGCACGCGCTGCTTCAAGGGCGCTGTCATCGGCGTCTGTGCGGATGATGTGGGCAGCGTTATGCCTGCACTGAAGATGCTGCGGCCTATGTTCGGCGTCTTCAACGCGGCGGAGCTCCTGGCGCGTCTGGTGCTCAAGACGATGAAGTGCAAGATCATCCCGCTGGCGGACTCCTTCTCGCCGGCGGTTGTGGACAGGGTACGTGCCAAGATCGAGGCGCTGGTCCCGAAGTGGAGCGGCATGAAGATCACGGACATGGCTGAATACCTCGGGGTGTTGATGGGCCCGAGTGTGGATAACCTCAAGCGTGGGCAGAAAGTAGTGGAGGGCTGGCAGCGTGCGACCAATATGATAGCGGATGTGAGCGCCCCGACATCGACCTCGCTGATGCTCTGCAACCAGAGGGCGGTTACCAAGATCTCCTACCTCAGCCAGCTGTTCCTCTGGCCGCCCAAGATGAAGCGCAAGGAGAACTGGGCTCTCCACCGCATATGACACCTCCCCCCTCAGGCGCTGCCACGCGATGACCTGCTACGCATAAGTGACTGGTCGCCCTCGCTGAGGCGGTCTCGCTCGAGCTCAGCAACAGGGCTGCCCTGATGCGCGGCGCCACGGACTCGGTGAAGAACTGGCCGCACTGGGCAGCCAAGCTCAAGGAGACGGCGGCGAAGGCCCTGCCCCTCTCCGACCTGGCGATGGGCATGCATGCGCCTTCGCACTGGCGCTCGCCACCGATTGCCCTCACTCTGGAGGAGGCAGCTGGCGGCTTCCCGAACGACCCGAACAAGCAGATGACCTCCGTGTGTAGCCAGGCACTGAATGAGTGGCGCGCGGAAAAAAGCTCGCCTGCTGGATGCAAGCCCGAATGCACGCTTGCGCGTGCAGAAGCACATCCAATCTAACCTGGTCCCCTCTCTCCTTGTTGATCGCCTCCCCTCGACCTTCCTTTCCCGCCTCAGCTCCTGGTCGACGAAACCACAGCCATGCGTGCAAGCACAGATTGAATGGGAGCCGCTCAAAGAGCTGCTCAAGTCTGAGTTCTCTCCCGCGTCTCACTCTGCCCTCATCAAGACTTGGGCGGGGGGATGGACCGCGAGCCGCCGACTGCACACGCGTAACAAGAACGCGGGCGGCCCATGCGTTTTCGGCTGCCAGCAGCGCGAAGCTCCTGGCGCATCTGACTCCATGTCTCACTATGTGCATTGCGCTCACATGTGGCACGCAGTTTGCATGGTGTGGCACGTTCGCTTGTTGGCCCCATGCTTCCCCCCTGCTCGTCTGGGCCTCTGCAGCGGAGAATCAGACGAGTTTCCACAGCGCGCTGCGCTGGAGCGCACCATCATCGCTTTTCATTTGTACAACATCCAATCGAAATTGCCCCCTGTGAAGTGGACACTTCCTGAGGAGGCTGCGAATGGCGCCCGCGCTGCAAGGGCGGTCTTCCTATCAACGCACAAGCCTGCTGCACAATAGTCTGTTTGACTCATTGTGGCGCGCAAGCACGAGCGATACATATATATATATATATATATATATATATATATATATATATATATATATCCGTGTACGAGGCCCGGGGGCCCGGGACCGCGACCTCGACGGCGCATGCATGGGGGGGCCGGGCGTCGTTTCCCCTACGTGTTTTACGGGGTTTCGGCGACCTGGGGCCAACAGGGCCCCCAGAGGCTGCAGGGAGGCCCCAGGAGGCCGCAGCGATGGTTCCAGACGCCTTTCAAGACGACTCCCATGACGCCAAGAAGGCCCCCGAAGGCCCCGAAGACGCCCCAAGAGGCACCCCGAGAGAGGCCCAATAAGTAAAAATCGTTGATTTCCTATGGGGGAAGTTTTATTTTTGGCGTGTTTGCCTTTTGGGTGCCCGCTGCATCCAAGACGGCCCAAGAGGCACCCAAGCCGGTCGAGGATGCCCCCAAGGAGGGCCTCAAGACGGCCCACGAGGGGGGCCAAGACGGCCCACGAGGCGCCCAAACCTCCCAAGAACGCCCCAAGGCGGCGCCCAAGACGGGGACGAGGAACCGGAAATTGTAGCCTTTTGGCCCTGAAGAGACGAAGACGCCCCAAGAGGCACCCCGAGAGAGGCCCAATAAGCAACAATCGTAGATTTCCTATGGGGAAACTTATATTTTGGGCGTGTTTGTTTTTTCGGCGTCCACTGCGTCCAAGACGGCCCAAGAGGCACCCAAACCGGTCGAGGATTCTCGAGCTTCCAATGGTCTAAGAGCGCCGAAAAAGGCTCCAATATCGCCCCAAGACCACCCAAGATACCCTTAGGACGGCCCCAAGACGAGCCAAAAAGGCTCCAAGACTTCCGAAGAGGCGCCCAGGACAGCGCCAGACTACCCCAGAACAAACCCAAAATGGGCCCAAGAGCGGGAGCAGGAGGCTTCCAGCGACCTCCGAGAGGCCCCCGGGTTCCCCCAGAGGCCCCCAACACACCACCGATCCTTGAGAGGCACCAAAAAGACCCCGACGAGGCTCCAAGAACAGCCCAAGAGAGCTGCGAGAGCCGTCCCGCGAGAGCCCAAAGAGAGACAAGTCGTTGATTTCCTCATTGTTTTTTCTAATGTTTTTCGCCTTCTGACGTTTTCCCGCTTCCAACCCTCGAAGATCGATGATTTTTTGTTACCTAACAGCTTTTGCTGATAGGTTTCTAGTGGTGTCAAAAGAAAGCATCATGACTCCTCAGGGGGGTCTGGGCGGGTGCCGGGGAGGAGAACCGGGAACACAACCGGGTTCGTTTTAAGCCAACAGTCACACATTTCGTGCTCTTCGACCTCCCAGAACTCCATTCCCGGGCCACATTTTGAATAACCGGAGCCAACAGTCAAACACTTCGTGCTCTTCGACTTCCCAGAACTTCATTCCCGGGCCACATTTTGGATGCCCCGAGCCAACTGTAGGCCACTTCGTGGTCTTCGAGTTCCCAGATTTCCATTCCTGGGCATGATTTTGAATGCCCGGAGCCAACTGTAGGCCACTTCGTGGTCTTCGAGTTCCCAGAATTCCATTCCTGGGCATGATTTTGAATGCCCGGAGCCAACTGTAGGCCACTTCGTGTTTTTCGAGTTCCCAGAATTCCACTCCCGGGCCACATTTTGAATGCTGCGGCAGGCTGAGGCTGAGGCTGAGGCAGGCTGAGGCTGAGGCAGGCTGAGGCTGAGGCCGAGGCTGAAGGCAGACTGAGGCTGAGGCTGAAGCAGGCTGAGGCTGAGGCAGAGAGCAGGGCTGAGGCTGAGGACATGCTGATGCTTTTTTTGAGGAGGCTGATGGTCGAGGCTGAGGCTGAGGGGCCAAAAGACAGACCTGAGGCTGAAGCAGGCCTGAGGCTGGAGGCCAAGGGTGGAAGGCAGACTGAGGCTTTGGCTGAAGCAGGCTGAGGCTGAGGCTGAGGCTGAGGCTGAGGCTGAGCAGCTGAGCTGAGGCTGAGGCGCTGAGGCTGAGGCAGGCTGATGCTGAGGCAGGCTGAGGCTGAGGCTGAGGCTGATGCAGGCTGAGGCTGAGGCAGGCTGAGGCTGAGGCCAAGGCTGCAGGCAGACTGAGGCTTTGGCTGAAGCAGGCTCAGGCTGAGGCTGAGGCTGAGGCTGAGGCAGGCTGAGGCTGAGGCAGGCTGAGGCGGAGGCCGAGGCTGAAGGCAGACTGAGGCTGAGGCTGAAGCAGGCTGAGGCTGAGGCAGAGGCAGGCTGAGGCTGAGGCAGGCTGATGCTGAGGCAGGCTGAGGCTGAGGCTGAGGCTGATGCAGGCTGAGGCTGAGGCAGGCTGAGGCTGGAGGATGCTGAGGCTGGAGGATGAGGCTGACTGATGCAGGTGAGGCTGAGGCAGGCCGAGGCCTGAAGGGCAGGACTGAGGCGGAGGCTGAAGCAGGCTGAGGCTGAGGGCAGAGCAGGCTGAGGGAATGAGGCTGGGCAGGCTGAGGCTGAGGCAGGCTGAGGCTGAGTGAGGCTCATTGCAGACGAGGCTCTGAGGCAGGCGGAGGCTGAGGCCGAGGCTGAAGGCAGACAGACTGAGGCTGAGCGAAGCAGGCTGCGGCTGAGGCTGAGGCAGCTGAGGTAGTGCAGCTGAGGCGCCGCTGCGGCGATGCACGGGCTTTGCGAGGCTGAGGCTGAGGCTGATGCAGGCTGAGGCTGAGGCAGGCTGAGGCTGAGGCCGAGGCTGCAGGAAGACTGAGGCTGAGGCTGAAGCAGGCTGAGGCTGAGGCTGAGGCAGGCTGAGGCTGAGGCTGAAGCAGGCTGATGCTGAGGCAGGCTGAGGCTGAGGCTGAGGCTGATGCAGGCTGAGGCTGAGGCAGGCTGATGCTGAGGCCGAGGCTGAAGGCAGACTGAGGCTGAGGCTGAAGCAGACTGAGGCTGAGGCTGAGGCAGGCTGAGGCTGAGGCTGAAGCAGGCTGATGCTGAGGCAGGCTGAGGCTGAGGCTGAGGCTGAGGCTGAGGCTGAAGCAGGCTGAGGCTGAGGCAGGCTGAGGCTGAGGCCGAGGCTGAAGGCAGACTGAGGCTGAGGCTGAAGCAGGCTGAGGCTGAGGCTGAGGCAGGCTGCGGCTGAGGCAGGCTGAGGCTGAGGCTGCTGAGGCCGAAGGCTGAAGCAGGGATGATGCTGAGGCTGAGGCAGGCTGAAGGATGAGGCTGAGGCAGGCTGCGGCTGAGGGAAGGCTGAGGATGAGCTGAGGCCAGGCTGAGGATTTGGGGGGGGGGAGCTGTTGGGCTGGCGGCTTGCCGTTGCCACTGCGACTGTCATCGCGAATGCGACTACGACTGCGAGAACAGCAGAATTCTACAACTGGATTCTCATCCGAATCTTAAGGGGAATGCTTCCAGATATGCTCCTACACATCGCTGTTACGTTGCTTTGCCGGGATTATTGGAGAAAAAGAATTCCCAGAATTCTATGTGTTTTTTCAAAGTGGGACTCCGACTCGGAGATCCCGCACATCCCTTGACATCTGGCCGGTACCGCGCCTCCCGGCTTCCCAGGGGACCTCCAAGACGCCCAAGGACAGCCCAAGACGACCCCAAGGAGCCCCCAGAACGTAAAGAACGGCCCAACACGCTCCCGCGCAGCCCGAGACACCCCTCCGACGGCTCTCCAGGCCTCCAGGGAGCCTCCAGAACCCCAGGGGGTCAGGAATGTCCCACACCCCTAAGGAGCCTGGCTAACAAAACCCGCGAAACACCAACAAAAAACAGCGCCGAACAGCGCCGAGGAACTGGAAAAAAATTGAAATCCTACAATTCCTTGTTTTTTTGTTTTTCCCCAAACAGCTTGCTGAACGGGGTGCTGTTGTGGTAGAAACTAACTCCGGCCGAGGGAAGTCGGAGCAGAGACATCCTCACACAAATTTTATGGTTTTGGCCGTTTCGCTTAAGACATCCTCACAACTCTCGTTTCTGAGTTGGCCGGGATTGGCCGTTTCGCCTGAGAAATCCTCGAAAAGTTTCGCTCCGGGACGCCGCGCGAGAGGTGGTCCGGGCCGTTTCGCTTGAGACATCCTCGAAACTCTGAGCCCCGAGGTGCCGTGCGAGAGGTGGTCCGGGCCGTTTCGCCTGAGACATCCTCGAAACTCTGAGCTCTGCGATGCCTTGCGCGAGGTGGTCCGGCCCATTTCGCCTGAGACATCCTCGAAACTCTGACTTCGGAGATGCCGCGCGAGAGGTGGTCTGGCCCGTTTCGTTGAGACATCCTCGAAATTCTGAGCTCTGAGATGCCCTGCGCGAAGTGGTCCGGCCCGTCTCGCCTGAGACATCCGTGCAACTCTGAGCTCTGAGATGCCGTGCGCAAGGTGGTCCGGTCTGTTTCGCACAAG